GTGGGGGGCAATCAGATTTGCCCCTGAGGACCTCTACGTCTGCAGTGAGCTATACAACCCCCAGTACCCTCCCCTCTATGTTTTTCCTTTTCTGCCTTTTGCTTCCTTCCCTTCTTTACAACTTTGTTTCACTAATCCCTCTGAGCTCATGGAATCATTTATTTTTGTCACCCTTTAAATGTATTTCAAAGAAAGGAAACACTTTTCATTTAGATACAATGGGATCTAAACCTTCCAGGGCAGAAAGGGGTTACAGCTTTTGCAAAAAAAAAAATAATGCCTACAGGGGGCACCCGGATTTGAACCGGGGACCTCTCGATCTGCAGTCGAATGCTCTACCACTGAGCTATACCCCCCACAGGCTACATGCTCAGTAAAAGGACCGAGCATATGTCCGAGCTCCCGTTCCGCAGATCTCAGGCTACGGTCTCAGGTTTCTGTTTACAGAAGAATTTACAATGACGTAGGTCGGGAAATCTCATTGAGAAGCAAACAAAAAGGAGAACAATGCAAACAAAAGGCAGCACAGCGGCTGTTTATGTAACCATTCAGTGTAATCAGACTAATAGGAGTCAGGCTGCTACTAAATTAATCATTTCTACCATTTCGCTGACACTACATGAAGCATCTCGGGCATCTCCAGCGTCTAAACCTCTTACAAGCGATCGGAAATACACATTATAATGCTAATTCCTTTTCCGCCATTCTGTCACAGAGACTCTCCCCCGTCACTATGAATATGCAGATCACTTCCGGCTTCACTCGCTGCCTATTTGTCCTTACACAGCTCTCCACTTGGCGTGGCAGAAACACAAAGCCTGCCACTGCCGACCTCTCCTGAAAATACCAAGTGCCTGGCTGTCGTCCTGTCCAACACCCTGCTTGAGAAATGCTGCTCACCTAGACCTACACTGTCCCGACACGGGTATGCTGATATCGACTTTTGACTTTCTCCATTCAGCGAACAAAGCCCACACGGGACCACTGAATGGCAGGTCGGGGGCGTAAAATATAAAGTATGTGCCACAATTTAGGGGTTTCCCACATTAAAAAAAATTATTTCATAGGGTTTTTAAAAGGTGCCTGGCTGCAGGTTCCCCTTATACTGCCATGGTGATAACACAGTTAGGCAACCATGGCAGGGCAGGTGAAACCGCTACCTCTGGGAGCCATGCAGTACCTCAAGCAACTTGTAGTTTTACCACAGCTGGAGTGCTGATATTGCATTTAACCTCCCCCCCCCCCCCATATCAACCATGTCTTTGCCTGAAGAATGAATGGACAGAAGATGACCTCAAATGTGTGCCGAAATTTTGCAAGCATTCCACAATCTGGCACACCACCGTGCAATTGGCGTGCACCACTTTTATTAACGTTCCACAGGAAGCGCTCAATATGCAGACCTGTAGAAGCCGGAACATTTTTCAGCACATGCCAGTCTCTGTTATTCCTCCCGCTGGTATTTATGTCATATGTAAATAATTAAAGTTGTTCCTTTATAGCCCCTTATTAACCCCTAATGGTCTTTGTTAACGCCTCCCTCCATTTTTTTTGTTTATTTTTGTACTGTTTAATTTAAAAAATCCTTCTTTTCTTTTTTAAAACAATATTTAAATGATGTCGCCAAACACGTTATACTGAAATTGCAGCTGGAAAAATAGGAAGAAACCAAAACAAATGTATGTTATGACATGAGAACATCCGGCAGTTTTTGTTCCCCTCTCTTTATTTACCAGCACGTGTAAACACAGCAAAGTGTCTAGAATGGCGGACGTGGAGCTCAAACAAGATTTTCTGTGGGGTACAGGACACAAAAACAAAAGAGAAAACGCAACTTGAAGCAAAAAAAAGGAAACCAGACAGAAGACGGTAAAATAAGAGAGTGGAGACGGAAAGGACTGAAGAGACATGGCGGGAAACCAAAACATGTGATAAGAGGCCCAAACATCAGAAGAATATGATTAGCGGAGGTCACATTAAAGGAGAACTATGGGGTCAGTGTTTTTCCCCATAGTTCTCCTTAGGGTAACGGGAGGACACAAACTAGCGTCCTCCCGTCACCCAAAGCTCAGTATACCGCGAGCTACAGCTCCCTATATACTGAGACGCCGCAGCCAGAGCGGATCCCGACATCGATGTCGAGATCCGTCCAGCTGCGTGAGTGACAGCTGGCTCTGCCTATCTAGAGGCAGAGCCAGCTGTACCCGCCCCCTCCCCCGTCCGTTCTGACAGTCAGCGCGGAGGGGGGAATCCAGCCCCTCCCCTGTCACAGCAGAGAGCCGTGACAGGATCGAGAGGTGAGCGAACGCCGGTATGTGTTCGCTCACCTCCCGATCTACTGAGCCGACCTGTGACAGTCTCATTGTCACAGGTCGGCTAGAACTATGAGGTGAGTGAAAAGCACCCTCCTCCCCGCATTGTTCTCCTTTAAGACACGGGTGGGAGACAAACCTATTACTAATTAAAAGGATAAATAAAGATACCAAACTAGCAAAAAGGGAGTGACCTCTTTTTTGTTCTTACTCACAATCTATAGAACTTGTCAAAAAGGGTGGAGGCATGTAGACAGGGCCGGCCTTAGGGGTGTGCGAGCAGTGCGGCCGCACAGGGCGCCATGGCAACAAGGGCTGGGTTCACACCTAGGCGTATTGAATATGCGCATTTTTCCCCTTTTTTTTTGTAACCGCCATTCACAGTAAAAAAAAAAACGTGCAAAAAACACGCGTTTCCGAGGGCTACCTGGCTGTATCCCAATGGAAACGCCCGACCAAAACGCCCCAAAGAAGTACATGTACTTCTTTGGGCGTAGGGCGGTTTCCCGCGCGTTCGTACTCACGGAAAACCGCCCAGATGGGAACTGTGCACATTGAAAATAATGGCATTTCCCTGTTTGAGCGTTTTTCCGCGGAGTACGAAAGCGCGGAATAACGCCCAGGTGTGAACCCAGCCTTAATCTTATTACATTTTCCTTCACAAGATCCACCCAAGTGCTGACCATTGCCAAGTCTGTGAAACTTTATAATCATCTTTATTAACTATATACATGCAAACATCAGCCATGCTTTCAGCAGATCTTCAACTTACTTCAGCAGATTCAGAGTACTGAAGCCAGAGGGCTAACATGACAGCCAGGCAACTGGCATTTTCAGAAAACCAGCAGTGGCAGCCTCCATATTACCTCTAAAGAACTTGTTTTCTTAAGGACGTTGTGTGACCCCCCATAAAACCGGGAACTATTGGTCGTTCGGAGTCACCGGCACCAATATAA